GGAAGCGCATGTTTGACAGTGATGGCAGAGAGTTGGTTTAAAGATTGATCTAATAAGTTGGGTTCTTTGTCTCCATAGAACTATTTTGATGGCAGAGGGTGAGTGCTAGTTAGTATGTGACCGCATTTGCCTTTTGTACTCTTGTTTCAGTTTCTCTGTCCATTATCCCGTCTGCTGTGAACAAGCTTCCAATGTATTTGAATTTTTGTTCTTGTTTCACTTATGTGTTGTTTACTTGAATATTTAGACCTAATGGGGTTTGGTTTCTAGAGATTTGCATTGCTTCTGTCTTCGCAGTGCACGTATTCATTCCACGTTTTTCACATGCAGTGCACAATTTAGTGAAATGTTCTTGAAAGCTATCCTGGTCTTGGTTTACGTGGCTCTGAACATCAACATCAACAATAAATGATTCTGCATCCCGCAGTAGCTGCGACATTTCGCTACCTCAGAATTACAAAGTTGTATCTGACATTTTGGCCGTTTTGAGTTTCAAAGACCATGAGATCAGAAAACCAATGCTCTTTCTATCTGCTCTATCAAAATCGTAAGATTATTTTGAGTCGATATCAAGATATTCAAAGAAGTGCATTCGAAAAAGCTCGACATGTTGTGAAACTCAACATAAAAAATGTTGACGTCAAATTTCTCCAAACTAGATACTGAGCAGACAGAACTTTGCGATTATGAGATAGCGACTTCTGCCCCGGCGTTGAACACATGGAGTCCTGAGCAAAATGACCTCTGCGACCACTTAGTGCATCGAGCAGCGTCGGATTTCCTGTGTTGTGACGACTGAAACCTTTGGTGAAATGGTATGGGTTTAAATTAACGCCGGTATCAACACTGTTAGGTTATTTGAGAGGCGGGACCTCCGAGTTCTGTCTCCGAAGGAACCGAGCCTAGTGGGATATTCCTGCAAAGTGCCTTTCTTCCAAAGGACACAACGTCGGACCGAGCATGAGGCTTGAACCCCCGAACCCGCAATCTCACGATTACGAGTCCGGTAGCACTGAGATCTTTGTTTCAGAGACGATGTGCTTGCTTGACCGGGTGATATTGTGAACAGTGCCGAGACTACCTCATCGTCAATTTTATGATGTCATTGTGTGGGTTCATTTGTCAGATCCCCCCAAAATTTGTTACAATCAGAGATCAAGAACGGTAGATTAATTATTCTTCACATTTAACTTACATGTGAAGAATAGCCTTCAGTTCTTGAACGCCGAGTTTAATTTGTTTTTAACCTGACAAATGAACCCACACAAACATAGAAACACACAAAGGTTTTCTACGTCCTTTCTCACCACATCCACGCTTCGACTGACAATCACAAGCGGCGTTAAGGATTTCCCCAACCCCTTGAACCTTGCCGTATCAGATCATTGTGTTTCACTATTCTCATCGAAGGTAATATGAGCACCGCGGGTGCAGTCATTGCCTTATCACATTGCAAAAGCGTTCGTTTGTTTGAGTAAAGAGAATCCTCTCGACACATTAATGGCCATGAAATGGTAGAAAAAAAGTATGACAGACAGAAGGAACGTAATACAGAAGTAGGGTCTATCAGATGCAGCCACCAACCACCGGCTAAGAGGGCGTGCAGAAAGGGTCACGTTGCTAAGGAAACGTAAACCAGAAACCCAACGAACGCACACACAGACAACAACACAAAAGCGAAATAACAATAAGGACAATAAAATATTTGATACTTTAGTTGACTTTTCCGATCAAGCGGCCCTAGCCCTTCGGCCTGTCGGTATAATGGCAACAAATTTACAGGTTTTTATCAGTTTGGGTTTTGTCGATGTATAAAGTGTTTCCGAAATCTTGAGAGGCAGGTAGGTAGGTGCTACGCAGGTCGTTAAGTGCAGGGCCGGTAAAGAGGTGATGTGATACTGTTTCATCCTAGTAGTCACACAACGGGCAAGATGTTTTAGTTTTAGTAGAGTTTTTTACGGCGCTCGCAACTGCATGGTTATAGTAGCGCGCGAAACAAGTTGTTTTTTTCTCCAGTTCATTTCTCGGCTTGATACTGGTCAATATCTTTATTTAACAAATTTTAAAACGGTAAAAATCGAGTGTAAATAGGCTTTAGATTTAAATTTAAAACAACTTTCTAAATAACACTTTAAAATTTTCGAACAATCAGTTTCATAACTTTCCAATGGCCTTTATAAAATTTAAATTTCTGTTGGGAACAACGACGGAAAAATATATTGTAATTTTGTGCTTTTAAAGTATTTCCTTAGGGTCTCTAAGAAGTCTAGACATTCGGTTAAAATGAGTCTAATGGTAAAATCTGTGTCGCATCCGACACAGAACGGCTTCCCATCTCCCTGAAGGAGGTATTTGTGTGTTAGGGCCGTGTGTCCCATGCGTAATCGAGTAAAAATGACGTCCTCTCTTCTGGAGAGGCCCAAAGGATTTCGCGGTCTCAGTTTGGGTTTAATATTGTGGAGTTTGTTACCCGTCTGTTTTTTCCAGTGGCTCTCCCACAGACTGGAGCTGTACTTTTTTACTTTATTTTTAAAGTCAGTCTGTGGGAGAGTGTTCGTCGTTGATCCCAACAGAAGGGATTTCTTCGCCAGGGCATCTACCTGCTCGTTTCCTCGGATGCCCACATGGCTGCATCAGGTCATATGGCGCCAGAAGATTAGAGGTGTTATAAAAGAGCAACAAACATAAAAAAGAAGGAGGGGGGATAAGGACGATAGGTGTTTAATAGGAAAGAAGAAGCAAACCACACCAGAGCACCCGCCAACCACCCACTGGGCAAGACGTTTGATGCGTGAAAAGGAGCATACCACATCAAAGCCCCCACCCCCCCCAAAAAAAGCAACAAAAAAACGAACAAAACAACAACAACAAACAAACAAACAAACAATATACTACCCACGCCAACTGACTCACCAGAAAGACGCCCCTGACGGTGGCGGGCGGGTGTGTGGGTTGCGCCCCCTGCTCACAGATGCGCGCGATGATGGCGCTCTTGACCTGCTCGGGCTGCTGGGACTCCAACAGTCCCTCCAGGATCCGGTCCATGCTCTCCTGTTCCTGCTGTGGGTGGAGAGGGGAGAGGGGAGAGGGGAGAGGGGAGAGGGGAGTAGTTTTAATAAGAGTTTTACAGCATTTGTGACACAAAAAGGGCGTATAAGTGTCGAAGATTAGAGGTTTTACAGACAGAAACAGACACGGAAAAGAAGTAGGGGAGTTAAGGACGATAGATGTTTGATAGGAAAGAAGGAGCAAACCACAAAAGAGCACCCGCTTGGGGAGCGAGGGGTGGGGGGGTGTAGAGAACCAGAGATTTAGTTGACACGTTGCACATACAAATCATTTAGAGGCGTTACTAGAGAGTAATATACAAAGAAAAGAAAGAGGAGAGACAAGGACGATAGTAGTACAGACGTCCGATAGAAAAGAAGGAATAAACCATAACAGGAAATCCGCCAACGCCCACCCACAGTTCCTCGGTTCAACTTCGAGTGCGCTGTATCAAAATAAATCACACATACACACAAATCACACACACACCCCCACCCCCACCCCCCACACACACAAACAAACACATACACAAACACACACACAAACACACAAACACACACACACACACAATGGAGAGCAAACAGGCGTGGCAGATATCCCCCAAATTAAATACTCCGACAGAAAAACGGAAATGGGCTGGTCACATCGGTAGAGATAACGATATCAGATGAGCAGAGGATGCACTGAACGGAGATAAATCACACAAATTTACGACTATCTTGATTCCGCACGAATTGACTTTCTTACACAACCTTACGACTATCTTGATTTCGCACGTACTGACTTTCTTTGAAACAAGGAAGTCAATATCTGAAGGGAGGTAAGTAGTATAGTACTCGGGCAACGAACTACCTTTAAATCTACCGCCCAGGCAAAGCTTTATCATGCATAATCCTCTTAAATCGTCTGTCAAGACGCAAAAGGCCATTGGGTACACATACCAAGAGGCGAAGGGGGAAGGGGAGACCTAACAGATGGGAACAGGGCAGAGGATCTTGTCTTGGAACTAAAATAGTATAATCCAAGCAGGCAGAATAGCAAGAGACAGAGTGTTTTATTGCAGTACGGTCCGGGAAGTGATGTCCAACTACGGGAAAAGCTAGGAAGAAGAAGACGGCTTTTTACATTACGTGTATTATGCCAATAGATAAAAAAAAGATTAAAATATAAATAAATGTTCACCTTTTCCCGATCAAATATCAAAATAGAGTGCCCAAATGCAGCAATGAAAGTTCAAATATCATAATTGTCAAATTGATTCAACATAGAGAGTTCAAATTCAACACAATGGAAAACGTAAACAAATGCCAGCTCAAAAGTAATTACAGGAGAACTCAAATATAAATATTAGAGAAACTAAATTCGTTATTGTTCAGTTCAAACGCAGCATAGAAAATTTCAAATTCAACAATACAACAAACTATGCGGACATGAAGTAACCATCAACTCCCGAGTCCGTCATCTCGTTTTGTTAGATTCAACACTTCGAAGCAATCAATTCATGTTACAGATCTTACCTGAAAGACACAGCAACATGCCTGACAAAATAAATGAACAAATAAATAAAAAGAGCCAGTCTCGTGGATATGCAGAGAATACCGATATACGAAGAGCCTTAAAAAATTATGCCAGGGGAAGATTACATAATGCTCTTTAAACAGTTGTAAATCAACCGAAGTACAGCATACAGTACCGGACGCAGAGGGATCGAAACAGAAGACGTTATGGAAAAAAGATTTGGGAAAGTAACCACGGAAATGAAAGATGAGCGGTTTTCGATAGTTGAAAACCACCCAGATTACACTTTCGGTGAAATAATGTTGCGGTTACTTTGAACAAATTTTAAGAGAGGGAGAGAGAGAGAGAGAGAGAGAGAGAGAGAGAGAGAGAGAGAGAGAGAGAGAGAGAGAGAGAGAGAGAGAGGGTGGAAGATAGATACAGAGAGAACTACAGAGTGATACAGAAAGATAAGGAGGGAGGGACAGAGAGAGATAGAGAGAGAGAGAAAAGAGAGAGAGAGAGAGAGAGAGAGAGAGAGAGAGAGAAAAGAAAGAGAGTGTGGGAAAGAGAGCGAGACAGGCAGAGACAGACAGAAATAGAGGGAGGGAGATTGTGCTTGTGGAGGGGGGGGGTGGGGGCGCTCAAGACCAACGAACAACCTATTGTACGTAAAATTATGAGTGTTGAATGTGAACTGACAATGTTGAATTTGAACTCTCTATTCTTATTAAATTTGAAAGGGCTATTGTGATATTTGAACTTCGTAGTGTTACATATTTTGTTCCCTCTATTTTGATGTTTGAACTTTCTATGTTGAATTTTATTAGACTATGTCGAATAAATTTTGGTATGTTTCCTTTGAACTCTCTATTTAGATATTTGATCCGTAAAAGGTGTATAAGCAGGGGGAATTTATTCCTTAAAAATCCAAGCTTAGAAATCCGGATTTCCGGATGGATCTGGAAAATCGTCACCTCAGTTCAAACTTCACCCACAATTATAGTAGTCATCAAATACGCGAGAACTACTAGATCTACGCTTCTTTATTCTTTAGTAGTAGTTTACCCCATCCCCGTTTTGGTGTCAACAAGATGGAGTCGTCAAACACGTTCCCTCTCAGCCAACAGGACCGGAGAAAAGAAAGTGGGGCAAGTTGGGGGGGGAAGGCTAAATCTCTCATGGACCCCGCCCTGTTCCGAGTAGGTTTCGTTTCAGCAAGTGTCAGGGCACTTGCATAGCAAAATATAGATTAAATAGGAGCCAGCAAGATTACAGGCGTTTCTAGATAGTGACGTACGCACAAAGAAAATAAAAACGGAGATAAGGACGGCCGATAGATGTCTAGTTTTAGTTTTAGTAAGCGTTTTACGGCACTTGCAACACAATAAGGTCATATAAGTGCCGAAGATTAGAGGTGTTACAAGAGAGCAACAAACGTAGAAAAGAATGAGAGATTAAGACGATAGATGTTTGATAGAAAAGAAGGAGTAAACCACACCAGAGCCCCCCCCCGGTCGCTGTTCCTCGGTTCCCCTTCAAGTACGCTGTATCAAAATATCCGAGCGTCTTATTGCGGTGTGTAAGAGCGGGTTTTCCTTTTCGCAAATACAAACACTCGCTATTTTATCGGCCAGCCCTTGAGGAGAGAATAAATAGAGGCGTTTCAAAAGATGCAGCTCAAGACTGAAGTTAAAGGACAGAGCAAGCGAAGAGGGAATTTATCATGAGGGTGAATGGGCAAGGAGTAAAATAGAAGAGGGCTGGAGTGAAGGTTAAGGCTGGGGTTCAGG